TCTCAACGAATCTAACTACACTTCTTGGAGCAGAAATATGAGAAGGGCCTTTCTTTCCAAGAACAAATTAAAATTCATAGATGGAGGGATCAAGAAGCCTCAAAGAGATTATCTCCTTTTTTATTCTTGGGAAAGAAGCAATATGATGGTGTTGTCTTGGATCATCAAGACTCTTTCACCCTAAATAGCAGAAAGTGTGATATATGTGGAGGATGCTCAAGNATTATGGTACCAGAGCAGGTCATGTACTTGTTCTGCCACTGTTTTCGCTGCACATACTTCTTCTTCTTGCTCTTATCTTGGTATTAATCTTTTCTTTAAGCCTTTCTTGTTGTCATGGAGAATATGGATCAATTCAACAATCCTTATAGTCCCTTTTATCTTCACCCAAGAGAGAACCCAGACACCTCTCTTATTTCTCAGGTTCTCAACGAATCTAACTACACTTCTTGGAGCAGAAATATGAGAAGGGCCTTTCTTTCCAAGAACAAATTAAAATTCATAGATGGAGGGATCAAGAAGCCTCAAAGAGATTATCTCCTTTTTTATTCTTGGGAAAGAAGCAATATGATGGTGTTGTCTTGGATCATCAAGACTCTTTCACCCTAAATAGCAGAAAGTGTGATATATGTGGAGGATGCTCAAGAACTATAGGAAGAATTGAAAGAAAGGTTTTCCAAAGGAGATTACTTTAAATTTTTAGACTTACTCCAAGAAATTCATTCTATTAAATAAGGAGAAAGAAGTGTAAACCAGTATTTTACTGATCTGAAGATCTTATGGGAGGAATTGGAGTTTCTCAGACCCATTCCATGCTGTAGCTGCAAAATTCCTTGCAGATATGATTTATCCAGAGTTTCTCATAAATACAGGGAGATGGAGCATGTTATTTGCTTTCTAAAGGGCTTGAACGAATGTTATAATACTGTTAAGACACAAATATTGCTTATGGAACCTTTACCCAGCATTAACTGTGTATTTTATCTCATTATACAGCAAGAAAGACAGGAGAAACATGACTCTGGCCTCACCAATCAAAATGACATCAAAATTCTTGTTAACACCATTGAAAAATAGAATCAGTGGAAGAGTGACAGTGCTGAAGGACTCATGGACGTGGAAATCCCTCTAGAAGTCAAGGAAGAGGGAGAGGAAGAAATCCCAATTATGGGAAACAATGTTCCCACTGCCATAAAATGAACCACACAGTTGATGAGTGTTATTATAAACATGGATATCCACCGTGGTATAAGAAGAACGACAATAATGGTCAAAGTAATATGGGACAGAATGAATGGGGTTTGTTCTACCTCTACTGCATCACAGACCAGCCAACAGAGTGTTGTTCAAAACTCTTTCACTCATGAACAGATGCAAAAGATATTACAAATGCTGGAAAAGGCTGATAGTTCTTCTCATAGAATCAGTCAAATACAAAAAGACAATGCAGAGGACACACAAGGTATGTTCTCATGGATTATAGATACAGGGGCCACTGATCATGTGACCCATGACAAAAATCAATTCACAACTTTCAGTAAAATCAAGCCTATATCTGTTAAACTGCCCAATTATTCTACTGTTACTACGCAGGGACCATATAATTTTCTAAAGATTTTATAATTTTCAATGTTTTATACATACCTGAATTTATATTTAATCTCATATATGTTCAAAGTTTAACTAGAGATATAAATTGTACTCTAACTTTTTCCTCTAAGATGTGTGAAATTCATGACAACTCTACATTGAAGATGATTGGATATGCTAGTGTGTGCAAATGACTTTACTACTTGTAATCTTTTGGAAGGAATCTGGCTCCTAGTTTTGTTTTCTCTTATGAACATGACAATGTAAATCTGTGGCACTGTATGCTAGGCCATCCTGGACATAAAATTGTTGAAAAAATATGTAAAATTTTCCCTTATGTTCAAACTACTTTTGATAATGATTGTGACATTTGCCATTATGCTAAGCAGCACAAATTACCTTTTCCTAAGAGTAATTCTTTATCTGCTAACTGTTTTTATATGATTCATTGTGATATCTGGGGTCCTATCTCCATTCCATCTATACATGGGCATAAATACTTTCTCACTATTGTTGATGATTGTAGTAGGCATACTTGGGCTTTTCTCATGCATAATAAGGGTCAGACTAGGGAACTCTTACAAGCTTTTATCATGAGAATTAGGACTCAATTTAATAAGACTATCAAAGTCATTAGGAGAGATAATGGTCCTGAGTTTAATTGTTCCAACACTTATGATTCTTATGGAATTGAACATCAAAGGAGCTGTGTTGAAACTCCACAACAAAATTCTGTTGTGGAGCACAAACACCAACACATATTGAATGTTACTCGTAGTTTAATCTTTCAATCTAATATTCCTCATGCCTATTGGTCTAATGCACTATCACATACTATATATTTGATAAATAGGCTACATTCCCCTGTCATTAAAGATAAAACCCCTTTTGATGTTCTGCATAATAATCCACCCACCTATCTTTATCTAAAAGTTTTTGGTTGCTTCTACTTTGGAAAGCAACAGAAATAAGCTTGATCCTAGAGCTAGAAAGGGTATATTTCTAGGATACAAAAATGGAGTAAAAGGGTATATTGTTCTCGACATTAACAGTAGAGAAATATTCATTAGTAGAAACGTCATTTTTTATGAGGACATTTTTCCATACAAGAACAATTAAGGAGGTAGAGAAAATTGTAATAACAATAAAGACAACATATTTTTTCTTGATGATGTTACCTACAGTTATGAGAAGGACTCTGTTGAGGATAGAAGAGGAAGTCCGAGCCCTACTAAGAGCACCAATACTGGTACTAAAGACACTAATATCATAGAACAGGAACAGGGAAACAATCAAAGGAGATGTAACAGAGTTAAAAGAACTACTGAATACTTGAAGGACTACATACAACAAAGTGATCAATCCCCATATGCCTATTTGTGTGCCAAGAATGGTTTAAGTACTCCTTACCCTATAACAAATACTTTGTCTTATAAATCTCTGTCTGATAAACATTTAAGGTACACTCTTGCCATAACTGCTAACAAGGAACCCAACTCCTATGATGAGGCTAAAAACAACCCTGAATGGGCCGATGCTATGCAAAAGGAAATTCGGGCTCTGCAAGACAATTAGACCTGGTTTTTGACTCAACTTTCTCCTGGAAAGAGATCCATTGGGTGTAGGTGGGTCTACAAGGTAAAACACAAGGTTGATGGCACTATTGAAAGATATAAGGCTCGGTTGGTTGCAAAAGGTTACACCCAACAAGAGGGAATAGATTTTTTAGATACCTTTTCCCCTGTTGCTAAGCTTACTTCTGTTAGGTTATTACTTGCTCCTTCTGCCTCGAAGAATTGGTTCCTACATCAACTTGATGTAGACAATGCTTTCTTACATGGAGACTTAAATGAGGATGTGTACATGGATCCTCCTCCTGGTTTAAATACTAGCATCAAGGGACAAGTTTGTAAGCTCACTAAATCCCTATATGGCTTGAAATAAGCCAGTAGACAATGTAACATCCCGATTATATAATGACCAATATTATATAATAAAGACGTTAACATCCAAATATAGAGAACAGTCGGAGTATGACGTGTAATTAAATGTGAAATTATAGTCATCCAGAAATAAAAGAAACAGAAAATTTAAACTTGAACAGTTGAAAGGATTAAACACTACAAGTGTTCAATCAGGAAATTCCTAAGAAGACTACTCCGCAACATCAGTAACCTCCAGCTCTTGCTCCAAGGGGATCTCCTCGACAACATCTGCTCCCATCCAAGTGGATGATCATCGCCAACGAAACATACCCAAACGGCACACAACACAAACAATGCAAGGGTGAGCTAGATATAAAAAGCATGTTATACATATATCACAGTTAATTCATGTCATCATACATAAATACATATAAAGAAACAATTAAAACATGCTCGTTAAACCACAACCCACACATCTTTACGCTCGCATAGTCTGCTGGCACTCCCCAATACTATGCAAGGTAAATCCACACACACGACTCATCTTTACACTCGCATAGTCTGCTGGCACTCCCCAACACTATACAAGGTAAATCCACACACACGACTCATCCGGATTTGTATAACTGTCTAACTATCAGTCGTCTTTGCACTTGCATAGTTCAGCTGGCACTATCCAACACTAGTGTCAACACCCAATTTCGTCCGGATTGACTAATAGATTTATTTTCACCAGGAGTGTAAAATAAAAATAAAAAAAAATTAAAAAAATAATAAAAAAAAATAAAAAAATAAAAAATAAAAACCATGACTAATAGATTTGTTTTATTCATGAGCACAAAATAATAAAAAAAAATATATAAACATAAAAATAAAAATAAAAGTAAACATAAAAACAAAAAATTTTATTAACAAATAAATAAAAGAAAAAAGGTTTAATCCTTTTCTACATCCCTATTTATGTACGAATGTCTCAATTGGGTCCTTGTTTTTTAAAGTGTATCAAAATGGTCCCTAATTTTGAAAATTGAGATCAATTGAGTCCTTCCCGTTAAGTTGGCTGGACGACGTTAAAAAAATTGATGAGTGGGATGCTGAGATGACGAAATGTTACTGACGTGGCATTGACCTGGCTTAATGGTGAGTTTTTTAGATTTAAAAAACGTGAAATTTGTAAATCAAAACGCAACGTTTTGATTTTGAACATAAACCACGAAAGCTTTATGAGAAGGAGGAATCCCTAAATTGAAGAAATCCCCAAATCGGTTGACGCAGGTGGGTGGGTTTAAGAACGTAGTTGTTCGACGCAGGTAGGTGGGTTTAAGAACGTGGTTGTTCGTCGCAGGTGGGTGGGTTTAAGAACGTCGTTGTTCGACGCAGGTAGGTGGGTTTAAGAACGTGGTTGTTCGTCGCAGGTGGGTGGGTTTAAGAACGTCGTTGTTCGTCGCAGGTGGGTGGGTTTAAGAACGTAGTTGTTCGAAGATGATGTCGAAGGAGCATTCTTGTTGTTCGTCGACATGTAGTGTGTGGCGGAAGGAAAACCGTAATTTGTGTTCACCGATTTGCCACTGTGGACTGAGATGCGCGCTGAGAACTGCTAAAACTCTGAAGAATCGTGGCAAGCAATTTTGGGGATGCTCGAAGTATAAGGTATGATTTATTTGACGTTTGTATTATGTGGAAGTGTTTTTGAGAATCGATTGTTGTTTATACAGAGTGGTGCTGAAGAGGGTGGTTGCAACTACTTCAAATGGTTCAATGATGTTGTGGAAGAGGAAAGGGGGAAATGCTTGAAGTGTGAAGGAAATAAAGAAAGTTCGGTGCACAGTGAAGAAATGGATAGTTATAGGAAAATTTTAGTTAAGTTTGAGAAATCTTTGTTGGTTGTTCAGAACTGGATGAAGGTGTTGATATTTTTGGTTTTTCTTTTATGTGTAATAAATACAATTTGCGTATCAATGTTGATGAGAATGGGCTGATGGGTTGTAACCGTGTTGTACTTTTCTTCCATTTCAATGAAAGTCAGACTTCTTACTAGTGAAAACTTTATTTTTGTTATGAAATGTGATGAGT